GATAGATCTGTTTATGACGTCAATTTATGTAAGTATTATCATAATTTTCTTTAAGGATACTTATGAATATTGTGTTTTGAAAAATAAGACTAATCGGCCACCACTTGCCGTGTGGTTGGATTGTTATTGTTTGGTGGGAATCACGCCGACCTACATTTTCCCCACCTCATAGTGAATTAATTGCGATCTATACAAATGTATCGCTTTGTGGTGGTATTTTTGCTGTCTTTTCAACTAAGAACATCTTATTTATTCTAAATGCATCGAAATCTAAGCATCTCTGGTCGACAAAGTGAAAAAATAAAGCCGTGAAGAGTTGAACTGGGAGTTCTATTTATAGTAACATGTCACCACACACTACTAAACACTCGGAAGGGGGTTACCGGGTGTTACCGATGGAAATGTTCGTAGATCTATTGTTTGGCATTTAATTCGGTAATAAAAAAGGCTAGATCTACGTTCTTGATTGGTGGGTATTCAATTATTGAATCAACCAGCCTTTTTACGTATTCTTAGACTTAGTTAGACCTAGATGTCACCTGATAGGCTAATTGGAGAAATGCCCCCCCCCCCCCCCCCCAGTCTTTCTTCCATCCACTTATTGGACACACGATGATACATTGTATTTCCCCAGCCACTGGTTTTTTTCTCAGCTAAAATGATAAATAAATCTAGAACTAGATCTATATTATACAAGATGAACCACGGTAGAACAGTATGTTGATTTAATTCCAATTTTTAAACCCCCTGAGCAGAAATCTTAATTTTCTGAACCAATATTGATGACTTTTTTCACATTATTGTCCATATCTGAAATGATTGGAAGGTTTTTTTCTTTCTATAAACTAATTCACTGTACAGAGCCTGAAAAGAGCTTTAATTTGATATATAATGCAACCTTGTAGCACAATGTGTTGATTTTATATGAATTTTTTTCCAGTCGGCAGACGTTATAATTTTCACTCAATAATGGCAGGTTTTTGGGCATTAGGGCCCTATTATGGAGTGTTATGAGAGATTTTAGTTAACAATTTTCATTTGGCCCCGTAGAGCTTGCATTGAGCTTTAATTTGATGTATGATTTAGCCCTGTAGCTTAATTTGTTCACTTGTTGTGATGCTTTTTGCCCGAGGATGTACCAGAGTTCCCCTAATTTTTTTCCAAGAGGCGTTTTTTGCACCGAAGCCCACTTCAGAGGAGTCCAGAAAAGTTACTTATGGTCAGAGAGGTCTGAAAAAATTTCAGCTAAGTCTATGCATGTATTTGTAATGATTGTGTGATTTTCACTAATGAGGAGGCAGTTTTGACTAATTTGGAAGAGGTTAAAATAGGGTTCTGAGCTCTTAATGACAAATTTTGGCTTTTTTTTTCAATTTTTGAAAGCCTATATCTTGGAAACCAGTCATTCTAACATGCTTTGATTTAGAGATATCAATATTTGTGTTGACAGCTCTGGGAAAAAAACAAAGTTTTCATTGATTTGATCATGCACTTTGTATTTTAGAACACCTCAAACATGGGTGAAAGTCGCAGTTGAAAAGGTTTCGTTTAAAAATAAAACTTTGAAATACCATATCTCGATTGTTTATTGATGGATTTTGATAATTCTTTTTTTAATGTTCTTATTTCATAGAGAAGATTTGAACTCCTGAGGTTTAAACGTCAATATTGTTCAAAAAAATTTTCGCTTGTGGTACCTACTGAGATCAAGCAATCAGGATCTTTTAAGGGTTCCCGGGAAAAAAAAGTAAAACTAACTGATGATCCTTTGCCAACTTTGCTCCATCAGTTTTGAACTCTTCCTTTACGACTGAAATACACAGCATTCCAGTCTAAATTTAAGACATTTATAGACAAATTTAATTAAATCATTTCTAACTCAATAGCTTTATTTTCAGTACAATATTATGCAAATGACTGTATTTATTTATGTATTTTTGTTAATCTAAGGATCGCATTGTGTACATTACACTACATATTTGTATGGCTCACTCATAACGATGTACATACGAGCATGTGTAATGAGGGAGGTGTATGTGCGTGTGTGAGTGTGTGTGCACATGTGTGCGTGCTCATGAATAAGAGTGTGAGTAGTGTGAGTTGGTGTACGTATGTGTGTATGTCATTTCTTCTGTGAGCACATATGAGCAAATATCAACTTTTTCACACATTTTATTCTTTGAACTTGGATTCTGTAACGCTTCTCGAGCTGTGTGTACACTGGAGTAGGTCCTATAAAAATTATCCAAATCATTATTAATCAGAATGAAAAAAAAAATAAAGAGTCAGTAGTCAGTATGAACAGTACATATTTTCCGGGGATTGACTTTGAAGATAGAAATTAGAAATAAGACCTGTCTCAACGCAACAGCAAGGCATACCAAAAGAGAGCATAAATTAGAAAACTTTTGCCCAATACACCTCTAGGAAAATCCAGTGCAATATTGCCCTCAGTAGTTGTGACTTCTGGCACAGAAGTTGGCTGGAAAATGGTAGCTCGTGAGACCACTCTTCGAAAACACAAAAGATTGAGGCACTTACGCTGAAGAACAAGTTGTAGGCTTGCTTTGAATGAGACCACACCGCTTATGTTGTCAGAAGGTCCCTTTCTCATCAATTCCAGCTGAAATTCAGTTGACCTGAAAGAAAGAAAAAGTACAAAAGGGAAAGAACCCTTATCATCATTTGACGATAAAGTCTCCCAATCTATACTTACAGGTGAACTCACAATTTTCGTTTTCTGTACTGAAAACAATGGACACGAGTTAATTATTCTCTCTTTGGCCACGCTCAATTTATGAAGTTTTTCTACAGATATTGTTATTTTAGTTTTAGAAGGAGTGTTATGGCACTTGCAAGACAAATAGGTCATACAAGTGCCAAAGACTAAAGGTGTAACTGGGCAGTAACATGCAAATAAATGAAGGAGGAGAGACATAAGGACGATCGATGTTTGATAAGAAAGAAGGACCAAACCACACCAGAGCACCCGACAACCACCCAGAGATACTTTCAGATCACTGTTAGAGGAAGGAACAGATCAATTGCTGGCTGAAAAGATCTGTAAGGACAGGGCCCCACAAAAAAAATTCAATGACAATAATAATTTATATATTGAGTACAAAGCAATTTTGTCAATTTAAAAGTTCCATCCCGATTAAAATTAACCTGCTATAGTTGAATATACAGTCGAACCTGCCCTGACGGCCACCTCTATAAGACGGACACCTGTACAAACGGCCACTTTCCATTCCCCCCTTGCGTTTTTTCTATATAATTTAACTGTGTAAAACGGGCACCTGTCCAACGCGGCCGCGGACACCATAATTTAACACACAACCCCTATCATACTAAGCAATAATACCTGTCTAAGACGGTCATTACGTTTTGTCATAAATTGTGCATTGGCCCCTGGCGTTGTGGGCGAGCCGTCATAATTCAATCACCTGTCGTTGTTGTTAGGTAGTCCCTCCAACCGATCATGTTGCGTAGGCCCCTCCCATTGTTGACCAATAGCTACCAATTTTCAGCTGCTGGTGAGGTAAGCATGCGATCCCTCATAACCCATAAGCCCCGCCCAGAACTCATACACAAATCGTAAGTGAGATGAGTGGTCACTGTTTACCCAGTCTGTAACAAAGTAACAGAGGACGTCAACATGAACTTGTTACAAAAGCGTCGCTCGTTCTCCGAGTGGCGGCGACCCATGTGTTTGTTTTAACACATGGCACTCGGTCTTCCTTGTCTGATACATTTCGTTTTATTGTCACCCTTGTGCAAAATCAGCGACAAAATAAAAATTACAAACGAAATACAAACTAACAACAATAACACCAACAAAGACAACATAATGGGGCTACTTTCGGTTGGGGCCTCATATGGGAATGGTTTGTTTTCTTTATCTTGATCAGTCCCGCCTAAGATGGCCACCTGTCTTATAAAGCCACTTTTCTCCTTGACAATGTGTGGCCGTCTTACACAGGTTTGACAGTATATTTATAAATATAAAACTTATTTTCCCATTATATTTTTTTTACAAAACCCATTTTTTTTCACTTTCGGAAAACATTCCTGCTCACTAAATGTGACAAAAAATAAACCATAAAAATTAATTATTGAGATATAATGTAAATATGAAGAACAGATCAAGACATTTATATTTTGCTTATTGTCAATACAGGTATTGTACAGGTATCAAACATCCTAAGTTCTAGTATTCCATGTAATAATATAAAAAATAGAAAGACATCAGGCCCCCAGTACATCACCAAAGTGAAAGTAGTTTTGTACCTAAACTACTTTCGTACTCCTGAAGTATTCTTCATTTCCAGCTAAGAAAATGATTCAAGTAGAGCTTTCTACAAAAATTGCATCGCATTATTCGACCATCGTTTAAAAAAACCCACAACGAAATCCCAATCCTCTCTATGTTCGGAATTAGCGCTGCAAAGAGCAAAATTCTCGCAGCTAAAGGGATTTGAAAACAACAACAACAACAACATGTTCAGGATTAGGACTGAGCTGATATCGTGTCAATATTTGGAACGAAGGCTCGGTGAGTTATGAAAGAGCCTCCACATTTCTATTGTCTCATTCTGAAGAACTCACTTCTGCTCAGCACTGATCCGATCAACAATAGTCTGTACAGGCAGAGTAGTACGACCCAGAAAGCGGGACATGGAAGGTCGACTTTTACTGAACTTGTGCTTCACTTCAATCTCTAGCAAGTCCGATGTAAACACTTCCATGGAGAATTTCTGAGGACAAAAAAAAAGGAGGAGAGTAAGTAGGCCGGAAAGCAACAAACCGTTATTTTCTGAGAGAAGAATAACATCATTGAAGACGCAATACAAAATTTTTGCTCCATAACGTGAACTTTCTGTCTGAAAAGCAAAAATAAATTTTTCAAAAAGCATGATGGGCATGTGTGGTGTAAAGGTTGTGCATAGGGCAATCCATTTATCGAGCATCCCCGTTTTTTAGATGGAATGCTGTATCTCTCTGAGCCCAGATTGGCCCTGATAGACAGAGTTCAAGTAGCCCGCCTTACAAATGATTTATATTGTGTGGAGGCCGGCATAAAATAATTTCAATAAAAAAAGATGAAACAATATTGAAGACATGAAATTTCAAGTGGACTTTTTTTTCTCCTTCCCATAAATATAGCTGCGACTTTTCTCCTCACCAGAAGCCTGGGAATTCCTGATGGTTACAAGATGAACTCTCTGATGTCTGTGAGTATTTTGAAAGCCATTAAGAGGGCTCGTGGGTCGGGTCTAGGGCATCGGGGACTGTTTTTCACTCACTATGAGCATTTTTAACTTTTGGTATTTTGCGATCCCTCATTTAGTCTAGATTATATTGACACTAGTCGCGAGGTTGAAAAAGTGTGCAAAAGTGCACAAATGCTGTGAGTGATTAATTTTTTTTGTTTCTATGTTGTGTACGAACATTTTCGATGTATAACCCTGTTTTTCTCAAAACACACTTTTTGCTTGGATATATGCCGTTTTTTTTCTCTCCATCAATTAAAAATTTTTCCAACATAGAGACTTGAAATTTGTCATGTAGTTAGAGAAATGGTTAGTACTTGTAGTGGGCTAGTTAGTTTTTAAAAATTTTGCTTTAAATTTTTCTTTAACAAATTTTTTTCATGCCAAAAATATTTTTCGAAGATCAAATTTCATACCCCCCCAACTTTGAGAACAATTTTGGATACTTTCTAAGTACAGTCTAAAAAAATCAAAATACCAGCAGCAAGCACCTATTTATTTGCGACATTTTGCAAGCTACAGAATTTTTAAACGCCAAAAACTGTAGAAATGGTGGAGAAAAAAACAAATCTATTTTCTATCCAAATTTCAAGATGGCCGCTGTTTCCATGGCAACAGTTTACTTAATCGAGTGTCAATAGCTGAACATGAATCTTTTGTCTCATACTTACTGCCTGTGACAAAAGTATTTCTCAAAGAATCATTTTGACAGACTGCTATGCAAAGCATACGGATCGGATTAACAAGTAAATTTCCTAATTCCAAAGTGGTGGCATAGAGTTCCCCACATCGTATGGATACGATAGTAAAACATGACGTACGGATAGTGTTAACTCATTGGAGCAACAAAAACTTTAAACCTAACTTCTAGCATTTCCTATAACTACCAGCGTAGAACTTTACTTAAATTACAAATAAATGGCAGGTGTAAATCCACAAACCTCGTTCTCCCAAGAAGGGTTTGCGGTGTTTGAGGCGACGCCCGAGCGGTGCTCTAGGTAGTGGTGTCGGTGGACCTGGTCCCGCTGGTTGTGTGGCAACACCTGGAACTTCACGTACGCGTCCGGGTTGAAAAACATCCCTTTCTTCAGATTGGTGGCTCGTAGCCCTGCAAAAATAAGTACGAATAAACCTCTTATATCATCATTTATCAAAACATCTCATCTATTCAGTATGGGAAAGGCGGAGGGAATTAAGAAGCAGGGATGACAAAGGGAAATGATGTAGCACAGCTTAGCACCTTGACAAAAATGACACAAGTGGCAGCAAGTGATAATCAGGCTATGAGGATGGCTATGTTTGTTCATATTTTGAAGTAGATATAATAAAATGGCTAAGCTGAACATTGACTACCAATCAGCACTGGCACTGCTTTACTTCAGGCTTCCTTCCTCCTCTGAAAACAGTGCAAACAACAGAATTTTAAACCATATTTAACACTTTCCATCTTCAAGGAATCACCTCTTTTTGAACTAGACTACTGATTTTGACTCGAGTCATTATTACCTTCAATTTTCACTAAGAACATTGTGTTTTGGTCTGGATGTCCGCCATTGGAGGTCACTTGTTGGGAAGCACTCTATGGAGAAAAAAACCCACAGATTAAAAAAAATAGTTGACCCTAAAATAGAAAAATAAACATTGCAAATCTATACATGACAAACACACGTGGCTGAAAATCAATATTCTGGTAATAAACATGTCAAGTACTAACATGTTCAGTCAAGAAATATCATGTTACAAATAGCCACAGATTAAAATTTTTAATGACTCATTTGTTACATTTGGACAGAATATCACTTTGTTCAAAGTGAAAAGAGATTTTTAAAAAAGTCCAAGTTCCAAACACCCATACATCTCAGAAGCAAGGCCAATTCAAATATTAAAATACCCCGATTCATTTTGCTCTAAATTCAATCAAATAAAGCAAAATTTTAGGTAGTATCTGTACATTTTCAACCTACACAAATCATGAACAAGATGTACTTCTACTGTAATAGAATGAATAATCAGAAACACACCCTAACAACATAATTAGCTACGACACAAAAATTGGAGCTGTGTACATACCTGATCCTCACTACTGGACAATGTTACAGTGACAAGTGCACTTGTGGCAAGAACATCTCCAGAATGACCACTGACGTACTTGAAGCATACAACAGTTTCAGCTTTAAGAAAATTGAGGAAAAAAACCCAAAAAACCAGTGAGTTGATGACAGGACATCTTCCATTCTGTTGTACATCATGTGAGATCGTAACAATTTTCGTAAGTGTTGCAAGCAATGCTGTTAAGCCTGTTTGTGTGCTTTATACACCAGCGACAAAAAAAAAAGGGTTTTTGTTGGGTTGTATCTTTCAGGAATCATGAAAAGCAAAAAAATTGTAGGCCTTGGCCCTAACTTTAAAAGGCATTTAGGTGATGTTGAAACGTATATCTTTGACAGAGCTTGGGGAGGGTGTAGAAATAGAAAATTCTCCAAATTTTGCCCTATGTGAATTGCTTGCATCAGTGACGTTATTCATCACACTCTTTCTCATGAAACATGAGAAAATGTGCTGTTTTAAATAATTAAAAGAGGCTCAATTTTAAGGGCATAACCAGAAGGAGGTGAATATTGGACAAGGCAGATAGACATGGAAATTAAAGTTTAACCTTCTACTGCCTGCAATAGAAAACTCATTTGAGACACACGCCTAGTTATATCCTGGCTGTCAGACCAACATAAACAAGCCAAACAGTCATAGGGCGAAATTATTTATGCCTGCTGCTCGTTTCAAGTAAATCAGGATTTTTTTCCCCGTCTGTAAGAATAATGGGAACAGACTTCGACGGTTTATGCCTGGGGCACAAAAAAGAAAGATACAAGACGAACAAGCCTTACTCTCAGAGAACAGGTGCTCAATGGCATCCAGGTCCCAGATGATAGCCCCAGTTGACCCTCCACTAGAGCCTCTGGTCTTGCAGTCCAGAAATTTTGAAGTGTCTGTCTCACCTTCAAACATGTAGAGAAGAATAAAAAAAAAAAATCAAAATGTATTTTATTATGATTAGATTGACATGTTAAAAAAATATTGAACAGATCAAATTTCATTGACTTTTTAAAATATATACTTTTTCATCAGCATAAGCACTGGACATGTCTTCGTTTATATTATAGCAGCTTCAGTAGCTTCCTACTCACTCATATGATACAACAGTACTGAACATTCTCTCTTTGGTACAAATTACATTATTTGGTTTCGACTAGAACACCGGTGTATATCATTTTGCATGCAAGTAGCTGACCTGGCATATCATGATTATGGTATGAATTTTTTTCCCTCCAAAAATGAAAAATGGTGACAAACCCCAAATGTTCAAAATACAGAGTCAGTTTTTTTTTGTAATGCTGAAAAACAAAACTGAACAGCTTTCCACAACAAAATAATCATTTTCCCCTCCAGAAACTTTTCTCCACAAGTATACCCGAGTCTTGATAGTTCACATGCATGCTTTGTAACATTTTTGCACTATGAGCAAGGCTGTTTTCATACAGTGGTCATCATAGATCTTATTTGTTTAACAACATATATTGCCTTTTAGAGGGTCTTGAGGAAGATAGTTTTTATGCAGATCAGTTATTTGCTAGCAAGCATGGAAACTCATTTATCATATCATTTATAAAATTGCTTATTCAGGAACTACCATTGTGAACCCCTTACCCGACAGAAAAAGTCCAATCCAATCTTGAGCCCCAACATCTTCTTTGATATCCCATTCCACACGGACCCTTGCATCATTATTTTTCCCAGCACCACTTAGCTGGAAAAACGATTTGTCAACAGACAAACTGGACCAGCTCTGAGGACTCAGAAGATTCAAGTTTGAGTCGCTGTTACTGCGTTCTAGTATAGGAGCATGATGTTCCTTGAACAAAGCAGCCGAAGCTCCCCTTGGTAATGATAGATCATCGATGGAGCTGTAGTCAGAGCTGGCGCGATGTGACGTCGTCATTTTGAGTGACGCTTGTCAAAGCTAACACAACCTGAGAGATGACAACCTTCCAAATAGTCCGACACACGCCATTGAAATCTGAAGAAAAGAAAAAAATAGGGGCACAGCTCTTTCACATTTTAAAAACAAAGCCAATGAAGCAAAATACGCGCCCGTCACTGAAAAATATCCGGTTTCATTCAGTTTAAATATGCCAGGTTTTAAGGAAATCATGAATCACTGGTCCTGGCGAAAGAGATCTAGAGCAGATTCAAGATTCCTCTGTCTGAAAAAGGAATCTCTTTCCTGGATTTTGTTATCAAAATATTAGACCCAAGCAAAGACAGCATGTGAGATCAACTCCAAGTTCAAGCGTTTTTTTTAAATTTGCCCTGTCCTACAATCTGTTTCTTTTTTAAACATGTAAGGGCAAGATTTATTTTCCAGGGCTTTTCCTTTTTAGAAAACAAATTTAATTATCATCTGGTAGGGAGACTTGCCTAGCCTTGGCCCTTTGCCTTTGCAGAATTTACACAAGGTAAGAGTATGACGGATCCCGAGTCCACACAAGGCCTGCACCAACACTCGTTTTGCACAGAGTTCAAGATCTAGTAGTAATCAAAATTTAGAATACATATTAAAATTTGCTTCCAAGTTCAGTTTTTGTCCCCTGGCGTTGCTTTCAACCCCCCCCCCCCCCCCGAGTGTATCTTAAAAAAAATCAATAATCCCCCCCATTCCGGAGTCCTATACGTCGCAGCGCTCAGACTTTGAATGAACTTTGGTGACCCCTACAATTGCCGGTGCTCACAATGTGATGGGACGCGCAGGTTCATTGACCGGTCACAATGGCGAGCCCGACAAGACGCTTGTACTATAACTTTCTTTTCTTTTCTTTTTTTTTTACAAGTGACAGCACAGGACAAAAATATTGATTTAATTTCATGGCGACACAGCGTTTGCCATGCACAACCTGCATGTTGTTACAATTAATGTTGCGTTATCACACTACTACCAGCAAATTTCTGGGTGGTAACGAAAGTGAAAGTTCTTGATTATCCAGATCAAACGTCGGTATCACACATACACTTCCGCTTGCCACCATAGCCGCCTGTCTGTGTGAAGAAACATACTCTCGGGGAAGCCGAATGAATATATTATATCACAATTGCGACCGGCAAAAATGAACTTAAGGGCGTTATCGGATTTGGTTTTCAAATATTCGATAACTTTCTCAAATTTCTGGGTAATTCTCGGGGCCTGGCAGTCACCCTGCTGAATCACGAAGTTGGTGGCTTATCTCTCAAAATCGGTGGATTGGTAGTTTGACCAAAAAGTCAGTGATCTACCCATTTTTTCTGTAGGGTTGGCAGGTATGTCTGTTATATCTTAAGTTGTATGAAAAACAGCAGCATTGACAGAGGCACACAGCGCAAACGCCTACAGTCAAACCTGCCCTGACGGCCACCTCTATAGGACGGTCACCTTTACAAACGACCACTTTCAATTTCCCCCCTTGCGTTTTTTCTATAATTTAACTGTATAAAACGGACACCTGTCCAACGCGGCCGCGGCCACCATAATTTAACACACAACCCCTATCACACTAAACAATAACACCTGTCTTAGACGGCCACCTTAGTGACTCCATTACGTTTTGTCATAAATTGTGCATTGGCTCCTGGCATTGTGGGCAACCGTCATAATTCAATCACCTGTCGTTGTTGTTAGGTAGTCCCTCCAACCGATCATATTGCGTAGGCCCCTCCCACTGTTGACCAATAGCTACCAATTTTCAGCTGCTAGTGAGGTCTTGCGTGTGATCCCTCATAACATAAGCCCCGCCCAGAACTCATGTATACACAAATCGTAAGTGAGATGAGTGGTCAATGTTTACCCAGTCTGTAACAAAGTAACAATTGACGTCAACGTGAACTTGTGACTGAAGCGTCGCTCGTTCTCCGATTGGTGGCGACCCATGTGTTTGTTTTAACATGGCACTCTATCTTCCTCGTCTGATACATTTCGTCTTATTGTCACCCTTGTGCAAAATCAGCAACAAAATAAAAATTACAAACAAAATACAAACCAACAACAACAAAAACAACAACAATGTAGCTACTTTCGATTGGGACCTCAGATGGGAATGGTTTGTTTTCTTTATCTTTATCAGTCCTGCCTAAGACGGCCACCTGTCTTATACGGCCACTTTTCTCCTTGACAATGAGTGGCCGTCTTACACAGGTTTGACTCTACTTTACTACCTGTGTGATCATAAATTTGTTACTCAGTCGAATCTTGAAGTTTGAAAATAAATGATTAGAAAAAAAGATGGAATAAGACACCAAAAAAAAATTATTACAGAAAAAGTGATCAAACGCACAGCAACAAAGTCTACGTCAATGGTCAAGGGCACACATCCACAGAATAAGTAGGCAAGAGGGTCAATTGACTAGTCAGGTTGTTTACTGCATGTTCTTGGGTGAGCATAATGCTGGAAATGAATTAGATAAAGACCAATTTGCCTCCCCCTGGCCAAAAATCAAGTCGTTTCTGCTTTGGTGGACATGCAGCCATACGATGGCTGGTACAAATCATTACATAATGTCTGAATACAGACAGTACAAAAACATGATGCCGTTGCTGATCACCACAACAGGGCCCACCCACGCCCCATCCAGGCTGTGTAAATAGGTAAGCGCCTTTTTGCTGAAAAATGCAATTTATTGAACTTCAGGGACCACCAAACTAAAAGCCCCATCACCAACATTACTTGCCACTAGATCTAGATTAGATAGACTATGTGTAAAATGGAAATGATGTTGAGCAAAACTGAAACAAAGGTTAGGCCGTTGAATTGGGGTGGGGTGGGGGGGGGGGAGACAAATCCCCCTGAAACCCCCCACATTTTAACATTTTTTAAGGCGGTCTTTATTCGGACTCGAGTCTGAAATTTTTTTTTCATATTCGGACTTGAGTCCGAATAAAAAAAATTCATCGGAATCGAGTCCGAATATGAATAAATGTTATTCGGACTCAGGTCCTGAAAAAATGAAGTGTCTTCCGCCTCATTGATACGCCCCCCCCCCCCACCCCCCTTGTTTCCCACTTTCTTTGTTGTAGAAAAAGGTGAAATTGAAGATTAGCAGACCACCTGGCACCTGTATATTATGACCTGTGTAAAAAAAAAAGACCGATTCGTCCAAATACACAAGCCTCTGTCATCTCGATTGTTTACCAAGAAAAAGTTGTGTTGCTGTGTAGAGCCGAGCATACGGCAACTTTTGATTCCATAGACCAGCGCACAATTCATTACGTAGATCTACGTCAAGACTAGCTTATTAATAATATTATTGTAATAATGATCAGTTGCCGGGGGAAAAAAGACTGGCGCGTATGCGACGTTCAACGCCCGGACCGATAGTGCCCCCCCCCCCTCCCCGACACGCACACACAGCCACACGTGTGCAGGCCGCCAATCCGACCCCGACACACACTAACGAGCCATCTTTAATTGCTTCTGATGACCTCTTGACAAATAAACATTTATTAGAAGCGCTATAACTTTTCAGGCCGGCCTCAAATTCATCATAAGATAAAAACTCGGCTCCTGCACATAACGCCATTTTGCCCGAAGTGATCCCGGTCTCTACCCAGCCTGAGGCGATTCACGAGTGAGGCAGGACAGGAAGCCGGAGTCACGAGTCACAGGAAGTCGGAAGTGATGTCAAGCTGGACAAGAATCAGAGTCCTAATAACATTTTTTCATATTCGGACTCGAGTCCGAATGAAAGTGGCTATTCTCACCCGCCCGGAAGTTCTCGCAAGATCTACTCCTCCCCTAGTTCTCTCTCTCGGTCTCTTTCTGAATACTGTCTATCTGTGTGGACGATCAAATTGACCAAAACAAAGTTAAAAAATGATGTTAAAACACAAAAGTAAATTAATTTGGTTGTCTACAAAGATGCTACGACTATTTACTTTTCGAATCGAGCCGACTACGCGGGTCGCCATTTTGTTTTGCCCGGAAGTTCTCGCGCTACTCCCCTATCTCTTTCTCTCTCTCTCTCTCTCCACTGCCCACAGACAAAATTGTGCACACATATATATGTACGCTTTTAGTAGGCTACAGTTGTAATGGGAACGTTTGTTCACGGCACAGAATTCTACAATTTTTCTGTTATCACAGTGTAGAAGAATTCTGTGGTTTAGGGTGAACGCAAAATTTGTTGGCCTAGATCTAGGCTATAACGGTGAACGCGCACCGGGTGAGAATAGCCAAAAGACTCGCCTGCACTCTTCTCACCCCGGGTGAGAATAGAGGTGGCCAGTCCGAATAGCCTCGTTTTTTAATCTCAGGGCTTCAGGAGGAATGTCCCCTTGAAACCCCACAGATTTTTTAGAACTACACAATGCATGGCCATCCAGAAATGTGGTCCAGTAGAATCGTACCCCCAAATTTTTCAGATCTGAATAAAACTGTAAATAAAGCGGTGGCTTTGAAAATAAAATTATTTTCCTTGTCTTACTCGTTTCATGTCTGGCAGTTGGCAAAATAAGCATGATTCCAAGAAGCACTGTTTCTCAAATTAGATTCTATCTCAACTAAAAAACGGTTATTGCCAAAGTTAAAGTAAGGTGACAGCAGGGGAATCAGAAGAAGGCTGAAGCTAAGGGCTTCCAAGTACTTTTGTGCTTTTTTGTGTTGTTGATTATGATAGATTTGTCACATTCTGCGAGCGATCTTGATCGACTGACGTTTCTATAACAAAACACAAGTATCACGGGCAAGTTATTTACCTTTGACTATCACATCGTTCGCCTCTATAATTTCTTAGAAATTACAACATAAAGGCCTTCAATCATGAAAACTTTCGCTTCACATCAGTGTATTATGCGCTGACCATGTTCAATGGCTTCCTGTTTTAGTCGCCATTTTAATTCCCAGATTGTCGAGTTCCGGAAATAGTATGTGTCGCACATCATATTCGGAGTCCAGTGTTATCGCAATAATTGCATTCTGAAGCACTATTGACAAAACGATTAACGAATAGGCTAACTACACACTTATTATCTGAAGAAGAAGGTGTTTTTATCTTAAGTTGCACATCACTTGAGCGTGTCTAGTTTATCCTCTAAGCATTTGCGGATGACTCGAGACGAATAGGCCTTAGCTCTTTGTGGCTGTCATGAAGCAGCTAGGAAAGCATGTAAGCTTATAATAATATGTTTTTTACATGTTGGACCATTCAATCTATAATATTATGTCTTTTGTGGCGTGAGGTTAGAGTGGAAACCAGTCAGAATCTATGATCACCTGGAAAAGACTGCTGTTTACTTTAAACGGCCCATGGTTGAATTTCAGTTAAGCTAATGATACTATATATATGTCAATCAGGCAAGAACAGTGAGAATTCACAGAGACAACCTGTAGGCTATCATGGTTGGCCTCAGTCAACAACGTCAGTTTATTAAATATTCAGGCCCTGCGAAACTAACGCCCATCTTTGATGAGACCGTAACGTGCGGGTGGAGAGCCTTGAAAACTAGATACACAAGTGTACCTGTATCTAAACAACTCATGTTCAGGAACGCCCCTTTGTAGAGATTTGAACCATAGTTATCTGCTTAACTCATTCATTATCCTGCCCCCGAGATGAGCTACACCATCTATATCTGCTTCACCCTGAATAAGTGCTCCGGGTTTTTACATGATGCTAAAAAATGCAAATAATGTAATTGTTATTCAAAGGAATGTAGAAAAGTATGTAATAAAAAAAATAACAGCCTAATATTTGCGCCAACAGTGCGCCGAAAATGAGAGAGAGAGAGAGAGAGGGGGGGGGATGGAGAGAGAGA